TAAACAATACATTTGATTTTAAAAAGGAATTATAAACCACAAATGTGGAGGTACTTTTAAAATTATGAAAGAATGTGTAATGTACGTAGTTGTTATACTATTAATTCCAAAATCTAGAGAGAAAAAATTCACACACACACACACACACACACACACACACCCTGTCCCTGTCCCTCTCCCTCTCCCTCTCCCCATACTCAGAAAGACTCCGCAGTCTTTTGAAGTCTCTGGGTGTTCTTGCCTGCACGTGGCACTAGATGTGCAGCCCTGTCTTGAGATCAGGAAGCAAATCGGTGTAAGAGGACAGGCCACCAAACCTAGGATGGCAGAGGGAAAAGCTGGAAAGGTCTGGGTCTGCTACACTGAGCTGCTAAAGCCACTAAGCCTGCAACCACTTTCCCCCCAGTTTTCTGTGAGACAAAAATTTTCTCATTCTTAAGAGAAAAAGTAAGGTAAAATATAAGTCACAAGTAGGGGAATATTTAATAAGTGAATAAGCATTTATGTACCTAAATGAAAGAAAGAAATCAACTTCAGTTTTAAAAATTGAAAGGATGTATCAGACTTAAATAAAAATGGCAAAGAAAAACAACTTACTAAGTGCCAACTATTACCACTTTTTTATTATGACATGGAGAGCTGATGAAGGGATTGTGAAACTGATGATCTCATATGTGCTTATGGCATCGTAACAGTCTTTCAAGAAAGATTCTGGCAAGGTGTTTCAGTAGTCATAAAGATGTTTATGTCTCTGAGCCCACTAATCCCATTTCTGGGACTCTCTCCTGAAGAATAAACTAGAATATGCAAAGGTTCACTGCAACATTATTTATAGTAGTGAACCATAGGAAGAAACCAACATTCAACAGTATGAAAATCATATAAGTTCAGATTTTCAACTGAATTCATTTTGAGTTGTGATTTAAAACTATGCAAAAAAAATATTCTTATGGAAAATACAAAGGAGCGGAAATCCAAACTGATTATCATAGTTATGTTGGGATTGTGGAAATAAGAGTTTTCCCTCTCATCTTACAGTTTTTAAATTTTCTATGATGCGGTATTGATACAGTAACTCCAGTCATAAAACTTTTATTCTAGTAAATGAATTAGAGCATTCATTTGTTTTTCCTTGTAACGTGATAATTTTTTGTCTTCAGCCTATGTCATTGTCCAAGTAAAACCAGTGTTGTATGTACTGTAAATTGTGGCCATCTTTCATAGTGGCAATCTGATTTGGCTTACTAGACACATTTCTCTACTGAAAATTTACATTTAATACTTAGATAATTTGTAGTTCATATGACTTCAGAAACTCCTTTTAACTTTTGGGCTTGTGTTTAAAGATCAAGCATAGAATCAAGTCTCTGATCTCCAGAAATTTCACTTTTTAAAAACATGCTGAGAAAGAGAAAAAATATGTATCAGAATAGAAATAGAAGGGTTCAAGAAGCTCTTGGAATTGTTTATGGATGAGTGAAGATAATATGTAAGAGCTTGCAGAGTAGCAGAGGCAGCGGCAGTGAAAGAGAAGATTGATGAAGTGAAAAACATTGTAAAGAATAAAAAGGCTTGAACTCTGTGAAAGTGGGATGGGAGTGAGGGGGGATGGCGGTAGTGTAGGGGTTTAGAACAGGTTGTATTGGAGATGACAGCAGCGTATCTGGGGGAAAAGGTCACCATGTGGTTGCTGGTGGACTTGAGATATGAAGCAGAAGCAGAGATTTAAGAGGTATATTGAGGCAGTGGTTAAAGCCGGGGTGGGATGGGGTGCAGTGCATGAAGTCTCTGGAGGAGGGGGGCCTCTTTGGGGCTGTGCACTAGGGATAGATTGAGAGGGAGAACACAGTATGCAGGAAGAGAAGCAGCAGAGTTCAATGAGCATTGTAGATTGTAAATTTCTAATGGACAGAATCCATGTTATCCTATAGGAATTATCGCTGAATCAAATAAATATGTCATCAAGTTATTTTTGTCATCGATGATTTTAAAACTCATGAGCTTTTTTACTTTTAGAAATTTCATTCAACTTTTCACAAAAGATATAATTGAATAATCAGCCAAAACTTTGTCAGGTTTTATGAGAACTTATCAAATATGATAAAATCATTTCTTGAACCTTTGCTTTGGATAGTTTTCCAGAATCTTTTGAGGTTTTCAAAATCCTTTGTATAGGAGTGCAATTTCTGAATTTGATTCATAGTAATAAGACATTAATGGCATCACTGTCTACACTTTAGCCCTGAAAGAGTAGAATTAAGGACATGAAGTGCTTTCTAGCCACTTGAATGCATTATTTCAGCTGATATGATACTCTGAAATGTGAGCCAGACTGATATAATTGAATGATATGCCTCAGAGCTATAGGATCATAAGTGAGATTACCTTTGTTAAGTTTCAGGAGATATTGGTATGCAGTTTGCTCAAGAACATTTCTTTCATGTATTATGTCAGGGCATAATTTAACTTAATACCTGAAAACACATTTTAATAATAATCACATTAAATTGGGTTTATTCATTTAGAATTGGTACTGTAATTCTTAAATTTTTGGACTATGGCAAGATGAGTTATATACTGAAAGTATCTGCTTCAAAAATCTGTCTCAACGATAGCTTCATTTTTGTCATAAAAAGTGCATAGGAGGTGAAAAGTGTATTAAGATTCTAAAAGTCACAAATAGTGCATATAAGGTTATCATGTTTCAGGCTGGCAAGTTACCCAACACTTACATCATCCTGTAATAATTATCTGCTGCAGACTCCGACTTTACACTAAGAAATACCATGCTTTTAGATTCTCTTCACTCTGGGTGGCTGTGGTATTATATGTAGCTTTTCAGCACCATAGACTCCACATGGGAAAAGAGTATTAGAGCTTCCTGATAATACATTCTTCTAAATTATCCTCGAATCATCTTGTAATGTATTTGAGAAGAAATACTGCTTTACCCTTCAGATTTGAGTACAAATCAAGTAAATAAGAATCTTCTAAATGTTATCAAAGAGATTACAAATGTATATTTGTGCCTGTTAATTAAGAGAAACGTTATTCTGTCCTTGTTAATCTAACATTCTATTAGTTTCTATTACACTTTTCTATTTTTGAATAATTATCTGATAAGCATTTTTTATTCAGATGACTTGCTTAGCGGTTACCTCTGCCCAGGGCATGGATGAGCTCTACTCCACAGGGGATGGCCTGGTGAAGAGATTGTTTAACAGCACTGCTTTCTGAAGCCTAACAGAATGCAGGAATTGCTCTCTGGGGTGTGGAAAGGCGATTCGGCCCAGATTTAGTACATGCTGCTTCAAGATAATGGAAGCAGAATGCAAGAAATAGCCTCATAAGGTTAACTGAAATACCAGTCCCCACAGCAAAATTAAATCACATAAATGAATTAAAACTGGTGTCACTTGGTACAAGTTTCAGAGAAAGCAGGAGGATTGGAGGAGAGTGAGGTGGGGGGCAGAGAAAACACGGATCGTCTGGAATCCTGACATTTTGAGTGACAGCTGCCACAGAGATACAGGCCAGTTCCCAAGGGCCACACCTCACCCCTGCTTTCATTGGCCCTTGAAAATGTACTGGTCAGGATCCAATAAAGTTGATTATATTGCATTGTCAAACATCAATTTTTAGTTACTCATATAAATAATTCACCCAAATAACATGTTTTTCAAACTCTGAATATGTTATAAGCATCAATTTTCTTCAGCTGTTTATCTTCAAGAACTTAATCCATCTCTTTCTAGTTATATTTTTTAAATTTTAGAATTTCCCTATCTTTTGATGAGTTGCCTCTAGTCATTATAATACTGTTTCTGAAAATGTTTTATGATCCACCAAACACTGTATGGTTAAAATGGTTTTAAATATTTCTGTTCCATTCAAGAAACTTTAGCAGACTTAAAATGTTCTGATAACCCAATACAAATGCTTTTAAAGTGAAAAACATGTAATACATAATTGTTTTTTGTTATTAACTCATTGCAGTTCTTTGAGACCCTTTTACTTCTTGCCATACAGTCTTCTCAGGGTACAGTTCTTTCTCTGTCTGCTTTTTCCTCATTCTGGCTTCCTTCTGAGTCTCAAAATGGCTCGAGAATAAAATGCTTCCTCAGTTGTACTTGGAGGAATGCAGGAGCTTCCCTTACCACCATATAATAGCTTTTTTACTTTGGATCTTATTGGACATTCCTGGATCCCCTCACTGTGATGAGGGAGAATGCCTCCGTGCATACTCATTGGCTTCGCTTGGACTTCTTGCCAAGCAGTGATTGAAGTGGAGTCAGCCCACCCAAAGCACATGATTGTTACCCAGGAGGACTAGGATGACCTCTTACATCTGTCTTGTAGCTCACCTGATGCCCAGAAGTACTGTATATATAGAACATACACCACAATGTATCCATTTCCTTATTTCCTCTAATAGAGATAGTTCTTTCAGGGAAAGTTGAAAAGTAGGAATAAGATGATTAAAGTCAAACAGACCACAAATATCTACTGCCACATTTACAGCCAAAGAAATGGAGCCAGTAGCAGTAGAGCAATAAGGAACAGGTACTTGGTGAACATGAAGCAGTGCTTCAGGTGCTCAGGAAGCTGTGGTAAACGAGTTGCCCTGGTTGCTAGTTCAGCCCCGGAACTAGTAGGAGTGCCTCAGCCACAGGGATGAATGACTAGGCTGGTCTTGGGCGGTTTCTTAAAATTGCTGCATTATCTCAGTAACCCAATAGGAGATGCCTTGTGTTTTAAGTATCTCTCAGTAGGTCCAAGCAGACTGGAAAAAAGAAAGAGAAGTCTTAAGTTTTACACATATTTCAGATTTGAGTTGATCTTCTTGGTTATTTGGGTTGCTTTTGTTTGTTTTTGCACTACTACTGAGTTGTGTTATAAAATTTAGTTGTGACTAGTGCTAGGGAAAACTTGTTTCATATTTGTACCAGAGTATTTTGATGACTCTTTTCATGTTAATGAATGATATTTCCTTTTTCCAGGGAATGGATTTGTAAACTCCAGAGCTTCTCCAAATTTGATTGGAACTACTGGTGCAAACAGTTTAGGCAAAGTTATGCCCACAAAGTCTCCCCCTCCTCCAGGTGGCGGCAATCTTGGAATGAACAGTCGAAAACCAGATCTTCGAGTTGTCATCCCTCCTTCAAGCAAGGGCATGATGCCTCCCTTGGTACATTAATTTTTTTCTTCACCTTCATTCTTTGAAACCCATTTTATACAGCCAGTCTTTGTTTTACTTTGTAAATTTCTGTACTTCCATAGAATCTAGACCCTTCCCTAATGAATGTTTCTATTTGAAGTTAGTGTTTGAAGAGACAAAGCTATTTTTTAAATACACAGAAATCAGATTGTAGAACAACAGGATGTAAATATGGTGAGTGGTTCTTTAAAGTTAAAGCTAAATAAGGAGAGGTTGTTGTGTGTAATTTTAGTTTTACCAGGCAGGGATCTTTGCTCAGAGATCCCATCACCAAGTTTATAAGTTAAACCTGACTTAAGTCTTTCTTCTCTGTACTTTGCATATTTTCAGTAATCGATTACACATGGTTTTCTGTAGGAGAAACACTAAATCAAGTTATGAGAAAATTCTACATACCAAAGAGAACCATTGCAGAATAGGGAATAGTGCATCAAAACTTGAATGAGTTATTCTCCAAATGATTTTTGTTTATTCCTTCTCAGATCACCTTCCCATTTAATTCTGTAAAGAATACAGTTCTCCCCACCCCAACCCTTAGAATTGTCTTCATAGTTCCAGCCTCATATGCTTTTTAATCCTATATTTGTGAAGAAGAGGAGAGTATATATATCCCTCTTGGCTCCTTATAGAAAAAATTAGAATACATATGCAAGTTTTAAAAACCATTCTTTATATCACAGTTATTTGACTAACAGTGTGATGTGCAAGGTGTTTTTTCTGCAGTACAGCTGCTAAACTCACTATTGGATTTTTTGCTAAGTGAAAGTTGATGCTATCAGGCTTTAGATAATAATTCTACATATGTATAATGCTCTGTAGATTCCCAAACATCTTCCTAGGCACTGTCCTATTTGATTCTCAATTATAATGTAATTTTGGCTAGATTGAGATGAGGAAACTAGGGGAGAGGTTAGTACTTGTCCACAGTAATACCAAACAGAGCCAGGGCCAAAAGTTTTAAGTCAGGAAACAAACAAGTACTTTTTCATATGGAGATAGAAAGCTGGAGACCAGCTCCCAGCCTTAAGGTGAGAATGAGGACAGACAGGTTCACAGTTCTCCTTGCATAGATCGTAGTCCTGGGTTTCATGGCAAACAAATGGCCCAGGCTCTAAGGAGAGGACATTCGAGCAACTGACGTATCTGAGTGAGACACAGGTAACAAGAGTTAAGCTCAGACAACTGGTGAACTGTTGGAGGCTGAGTGTTCGCTGTCAGGACAGTAAAAAGCCCCGAGGGCTGTGATAAAGGAGTCGGAGTTCCCTTACAGGCTTCTTCTCCGTGAACCCACTGGGTGCTTGCACAAGAGACTGGGGATAACCAGAAAAAGTCTCCTCTGTAGCATTTAAGTGGGAAAGGGGATGAGCAGCCACCACACTAGGGTAAAAAGCTTTGCCTGGGCCCTTTTCCCCTTTCTCTCCTATGGACCAGAAGTCTGTGAGACGAACAACAGAAGATGTCACCCTGAGGCACTGGTGACCTCCCATTGTATCTGGAGAAATGGAGATGGAAAAAGATCTCAGCCCATGGTGGAGGAGCAGGAGCAATGCCAGGAGCAGCGCGGGGTGACTGGTGACCGGGACCGGAAGCGCCGCAGCCTGTGGCACAGCACCAGCTGGGGAAGGCTTCATTCTGAGAATGGAGCAGTCACTGGGGTAAACAAAACTGCCAGTGACAAACCAACGCTCACTTCCTCCTGGAAGGATTTGAGGCCCATGGTGGATGTCCTGAGGCTCATCCCCAGCCCAGTTCTTAATTAAAATTAACTCAAATCAGGCTGTAAAGACCTAGCCAGAGGAAGGACCTTTAGGTCAGTGGAATTACCCGAGCTGCAATACAGAGAGAGAGAAGAGTGAAAATAACAATAAAGACAACAACAGAACAAAGCCTCCAAGAGCTATAGCCTTGTATCGGGTAGTTAAATATATTTGTAATTAGACTTGCAAAAAGAAGAGAGAACAGAGCAGAAGAAATATTTAGAGAAATAATAACAACACCAAGTAGGACAAGTCCACACACATTCAGACCACTAAAAGCAAAAGACAAAGAGGAAAAATCTTTAAGACAGCCAGAGGAGAGAGACAGAGGAAAAAGATAAGAATTTATAGCGTACTTCAGAAACCATGCAAGAACAGCGGAGTAACAGTGCTGAAATCCAAAACAAAACCCCCCCAACCTAGAACTCTGTGTCCAGCAAAAATCTTTTAAAAATGAAGAAGAAAAACTTCCTCAAACAAAAAATATAGAGAATGTATTGCCAGCAGACCTACTGTACAAGAAATGCTAAAGGAAGGCCTTCAGCAGAAGGAATATGATACCAGCGAAAACTTGGATCTCTACGAAGCAATAAAGAACAATGGAAATGAAATGAGTGAAGATAAAATAATCTTATAAACATTTTATTTTAGAACAATTTTAAATTTATACAAAGATTACAAAGACAGTATAGAAAGTTCTCATCTCCACACCCAATGTCTCTGATTGTTGACATCTTGCATTAGCTGACAAGTCAGTATTGATACACTGTTATTAACTGAAATCTACACTTTATTCACATATCCTTAGTTTTAACTACATGTATTTTCTGTTCTTGGATCGCATCCAGGGCACCACGTTACATTTAGTAGTCGTGTCTTCTTAGGCTCCTCTTGGTTGTAATAGCTTCTAAGACTTGACTTGCTTTAATGACCTTGATAGTTTTGAGAAGTACTAGTCAAGTATTTTGTAGAATGCTTCTCAATTGAGATTTTTTTCTCATGATTAGACTGGGGTTATTGGTTTCAGGGAGGAAGGCCACAGTGGTAAAGTGCCAGTTTTATCACATCATATCTATCATTATGGATAGTTACTACTGACAGTAACCTTGGTCACTTTGCTGATGTGGTGTCCTATGGGTTTCTCTGCTGCAAAGTTACTCTTCTTCCTTTCCATATTGTCCTTCTTGGAAGGAAGTCCCTATGCAAAGTCCATACTTAAGGAGTAGAGAGAGAGGCTCTAACTTCTGGAGGGCAGAGTATCTACATAAATTATTTGGAGTTCTTCTCTACAGATGACTTTAATTTGTTTAATAATTTATATTAACATGGACTTCTGGACATCTATACTTTGGGTTATAATACTCCTAAATTCTGTGAATACCTAATTCTAACAATACTTTTGCTCACATTCTTCCAGCTTTAGCTATTGAGGACTGGTTGGGTGGTTCCTATGCCTCTCTCACACAGCCATCCTCCTGGCGTTTTTTTGGTGGGGGGAGTATGGGGGAGTTGCTTTGAAATTTTTTGGTTAGTACAAAATGCTCTAGGCTCATCCTGTATATTTCCTCCAAAGAACTTTGGCTCCTTTTATTGGAGAATGGTATTAGAAACCAAAATCTGGGCATTTTCCTTGTTTAAAATTGCTACAAAAGATCACCAACAGAAAAAGAGAGCAAAAACAGTGGGAATGAATTTTGTGCTTCTAGCACATGTAAAAATAAAATACATGGAAACAAAAGACAGACAAATTGTAAATATATATTGTAAGCCCTTACCCTTCACCTAACACGGTATCTATTTAAAGGTGATCACTAGAGAAAACATAGCATGCAAACATTAACCATAAGAAGGCTAGTATAGTCATAATGATTCTAGACAATGTGGACTTTACAGTAAGGAATATTATCAGTGATAAAGAAGGAGAGCACACTGGGGCATCTGGGTGGCTCGGCCAGTTAGGCGTCCGACTTCAGCTCAGGTCATGATGTCACAGTCTGTGAGTTCAAGTCCTATGTCAGGCTCTGTGCTGACAGCTCAGAGCCTGGAGCCCACTTCACGTTCTGGGTGTCTTCCTCTCTCTCTCTCTCTCTCTCTCTCTCTCTCTTTCTCTCTCTGCCCTCCCCTGCTCTCGCTCTGCCTCACTCTCTCTAAAAAATAAACATTAAAAATTATTTTAAAAAAGGACAGCACACAGTCCAATTTCCAAAAAATAAGTATCTATAATGTATATGCACCTGAAAGTAGACCTTATAAACTTATAAACCAAAAATTGATAGACTTAAAAGGTGAAATAGAAAAATCCACAACTGTACTTGGAAATGTATACGTTCTTCTCTCCATAACTGCTAGAGCAAGTAGGCAGAGAGACCTGTAGGGACCTAGGTGACCTGAGCAGTACTCCGCCAGCCTGACCTAAGAGACGTCGATGGAACACAACAGCAGAACATACATTTTTCTTAAGGGCCCTTGGAACATTCACCAAGGTAGACCCATTTCCTGAGCCATAAAGTTAACCTCAAAATTTTTCGAAGATTTGAAGTCATACAGATCATATTCTCTGATCATGATGAAATCCACAATAGAAAGGAAAAATCGTTATATATTTAGAAATTTACTCACTTCTGGGTTACCTCGGTGGCTCTGTCAGTTGAAACATCCAACTCTTGATTTTGATTCAGGTCATGATCTCATGGTTTTTGAGATCAAGCACCACATTGGGCTCTGCGCTGACAGCATGGAGCCTACTTGGGATCCTCTCTGCCCCTCCCCAGCTTGCACACACTCTCTCTCAAAATAAACTTTAAAAAGAGGAAGAAACACACTTTTTAATAATCCATGGGTCAAAGAGGAAATCTCAGGAGAAATTATAAAATACATACATAGAACCTATCAAAATTTGGGGACTAGCAAGAGTATTGTTGAGAGGAAAATCTATAGATTAGAGGTTCATATTAGAAAAGAGGAAAGTACCAAGTTAGTAAGCTTTTACTTAAACTCAAAAAAGAAGAACAGACTTAGCAACCAGAAGAAAAGAAAAAGAACAGAAATTAATGAAATTTAAAATGGAAAAATAGTAGAGAAAAGCAGTAAAACCAAAGTGTGGTTTTTAGATTGCTAAACTTCTAGCCAAGTTGACCAAATTAAAAGAGAAGACATGAGTTATCACTATCAAGAATGACAGCAGTTACATAACTCAGAAAACACTAAAAGATA